GAGGCCGTGAGCGCAGGCTGCGCTTGCTCTCCTCCGGTCAGTCATGTTTCAGATTACGGCCCAGAGCACCCTATGCTGGGGCGCCCACAACCCCCGGGGCTGCAGGGAAAGGTTCATGCTTATGTGTAAGGGGCGGAAAACTGGCCTCTCGCAAGGCGAGTGGTGGGTTGTAGTCTTCCTGCGTCAGGGAGGGAGGCAAGGGGCATGGCCACCTGGGGGGGGCGAAGCGGACCAGGGCGCACGGGACTGTGCTCCAAGCACCCTGACCCGGACGGGAGGGCACCTGGCTTTGCTGGGTGCTCTGAGAAGGGCATCGGTGCTGCCTTGCCTGCCCATCCAGCAGGCTGTCGGCAGAGCTGGGTCGGGCCATCCTATCATAGCCTGCTGGCTCCCTGCTTGCGACCTGGGGGCAGGTGGGGTCTACACCAGGGACGGCAGCGGCAGGTGCCGGCGGACCCCTCTGCTGTAAACCATGACCATCTCTGTACGGCCGAAGACTGGGGAGGCTCATCCTATTCCCTGGGTCCTCTCTCTGTTGGGGTGATGGGGTCAGACACAACTGAGGGACCCCAGCCTCCTCCGAGTTTGCCACCTCCTGGGGTAGCAGTTTTTGTAGGGGGTGGGGGGACAGGCATGATTTGCTGACCAGCGTGGGGGTAGGCACGCTGGAGTGGAGGGCCGGGGGCTGGGGGAGCTGGAAACTTCCTGAAGCCACTGCTGTTTTCTGAGGCACAGAGAACAATGCTCGGATTTCCTGCGGCAGGAGCAGCTTAGGGGCATGCGGGAGCGTCTGCAGCCCTCCTGGGCTGGGGCCCCATCACTCAGGAGTTAACCTGCCCTCCCCAACCATCTCCAGCTTCAAAGCGGGGAGGGGCGCCTGCACGCTGGCTATGCAGCAGGTGTTTCCAGACGAGGCTGGAGCAGAGACGTGGCAGGAAGGAGAAAGCAGCCACGGGAGGGTGTGTGGGCCACGGGAGGCGCAGACGCCACTCTGCTGGGTGCTGGCCACACGCCGGCCACACGCCGGCCACCACCCGCACCTCTGGCTTGCAGCCTCTCCTGCCTGTGCACGCGTGTGGATGAATGGACGGCTGGTGTGCGCACGCGTGTGGGAACGAGCAGCGGGATGAGCACGGGCGTGCCTGTGTGGCTCACGAGGGGACACCGGCCAGCCCTCCGCTGAGGCCCTGCGCCCTCTAGTGAAGAGAGGCCCGGCACCCAGCTGCCAACCTGGGAAGCGACACCAGAGGTGGCAGGACAGGTCGCCGATGGGGGGCCCCCAGCTCCGCTCTCCCTCCACCTGTGTGGCAGAGGCCGGCCAGGCGGGAGGCGGTGTGCCAGGGGCCAGCTCTCCTACTCTCCTCTCTCCTGCCTGTGCCTGCGGCCACAGCTTGGTGCAGCTGACAGGTCAGGGAAACCCTCGGCTACGACCCCTGGCCCCAGGGTCCCCCTAGCGCTGGGTCTGCATCTGCAGAAGGGAGCGGCCCGCCACGCCTCCCAGCGAGAGCCGGGGCAGAGCACAGGGGAGCTGCACGCGAGACCCCTCGCCCAGGGCTGCGGCGTCAAGGCGGGCCGCGCACCTGCTTGCGCTGGGCAGGACTTCCACGGCAGCCAGGGGCACCCAGGAGCCAGCACCATTTTTCTATGGGGTTCCGAGATGCTGCCCAGGGGCTCACTGTGCTGGGGAGCCGGGGAGCAGGGTGGCCTCTGACCCCCAGACTTCCGGCCAGGGCCGGCAAGAGAGGGCGCTGCTTGGGGCTGCACTGGGGTCTCTCTTAGCCAGCACCCCGAGGCTGTCAGGACAGACGGCAGTCGGGTCAGGGGACAGATGACAGAGCCCCGGTCCCCAGCGTCCGGCTGGCGTTGAGGGCATGTGCCGGGAAGTGGGGCGGGCGTGTGTGAGCAGGAGCCCGAGGGTGGGAGCCCGGCAGGGCGAGCCTGACCCAGTGCCCGCAGGATCGGGGCCCGTCGCGGGGCACACCCCCACGCCCCCCAGTCCCGACTCACTCGAGCACGTCGCGATTGAACTGCTTCTGCCGGTTGCCGAGGAACTCGCCGATCATCTGCCGGCTGAGGCCCTTGCGCTGCAGCAGGAAGTGGGCCACTCCCACCGGCGTGTCGGGCACGAAGCCGCGCTCGATGAGGTACTGGATGCCCTTCTCAGGCTTCCTGGGGGGGACGGGAAAGGCCGCTCAGCCGCAGCCCCTCCGGCTCATCACGCCTGCCCGTGATCCTTGAGCCCACGATGGAGCACGCGCCGGGTGCTGGGGCAGGAGCCCCTCCTCGCCACCTGCACTGCCCTCGTGGCCACACCAACAGCCCTCTGCAGAGAGGCTTCCAGCACTCCGGCACGCTCCCCGACACCTGTGTCAGCACTGACACCCTGCAGCTGCTGGGCCCTGGCCGTGCGGTGTCAGGTAGCCGAGCCCCTTCCCTCCCACGGTCACGCTGGCCCTTGCGGTCTGGTCACCTGTGCTGTGTAGGAGCCCAGTGCCCTGTGAGTGGTCACTCACTGAGTTGGCACAGGCAGGCGCCTGGAACATGCACACAGTCAGCACTGCGTGTGTCCTTATGATCTGCCCCAGTTCGCAGGAGAGGAGTCGGAGGCCCGGCTCCTCCGGGAGGGGCGGCCCCGAGCAGCTGGCGTCCACCTGTCCTGGGGGCCAAGAGGCCCAGGAAGGGCCTGGGTGGACTGTGGGGAGTGGAGGGTCCCTTGGGATGCAACAGCGAGCCCAGGCAAGACCCTCCTCCTCTGGGGCCCCTGACATGCTGGCCACATGACATGAGCTCCTACAGACCCCTCAGAGAGGGGCCGGTGACCAGAGGGCCACACAGATGTCTCTGACCCGAGGAGCTGTGGGCCCCGGCTGTGCGTGCGGCCCCGTCCAGGTGGGGTCAGCCGGCCCTGCCCTTTGCCCTAGCAGGTAGAGGCCAGCGCTGTGCTGTGCCCCAAGGGCAGGAGGTAAGGGCCGGTGTCCACCAGCTGTGTAGCTCCTGGAAGGCAGCGGCAGTGTCCAGTAGTGACCGCTTATCCAGGCGAGCCAGTGGCAGGCTCGGCCGCAAGGTGACACTGCTATTTTTACCAGGATGACCACACACCCTCACCTCACCCTCAGGGGCTCGGCCGGGAGCAGCTGCTGGCCACCTGGGTCCAGGCACAGAAGTGGTGGCGGACTGGCCCTGCTCCCCTGGGCCCCACTTCTGCGGCTCTGGGGTCTCTAACCAAGAACCCCCCAGGTCCTGGCCTCTCCAGCCACTCGGCCATTGTCGGGGATGTCGTGGCCAGGGAAGGCCACACTCCCTTGCCACTGCTCCCCATGAGCCCAGGACCCCACCCTGCGCCTGCGCGCCCCGCTCTCAACGCCAGCCACCACGGCAAGCCCACGTGTTTTCCTTGGCCCACACAGCGTGACGCAGAAGTGCTAGTGAGTTGCCAACTAGACTTAGAATCTCATTTGAAATCCAGATTTGCGGCTTCTCTTGACAAATCAGACAGCCTGGCATCTCTGGGCCCTGCGCTGTGTGGCAATGCTGGGGGTGGGGCCGGGTCAAGCCGACCTGGGCACCCACTGTTACCCACCCACCTAGGCCTGCCTGGCGCCCCTCTCTGGTGCCCTGTGCAGGCCCAGACAGGCCCTGTCCACCCCCCGCTTTTCTGGGGTGGCTGCTCTCACGCCTCTGCTCCTTCTTGGGTTCCCACAACAGGGTCACGGGGCATCATGGGCTTCCAGGACACGGATGTGCCCATCCTGGGGTTGCTGAGCACGGAGGGGAGGACAGGGCACGGGGGAGCTGTGGGAAGGAGAGACTGTGGGAGTGTGGACTCCCCACAGGCTCCGCACCGGGGCCTACTCCACATGCGAGGGTCATGTTTGGAGCAGGCCCGCAGGATGGAGGACCCGTGAGGCCGGTCCACTCCGGGGTGGCGGGGGACCCTGAGGGGGCTGAGAAGAGGGAAGCAGGGTGCCAGGCTGATCACCCAAGGCGTGCTGCTCTGAGTGGGATGAGGCGCCTGGTGTGCCCTGGGCAGGGCAGGGACAGGACCAAGGTCCTCGGGGAAGAAGCTCTGGCTGCCCTGCAGGGTCAAGGTCAGGCCTGAGCTGGGAGACTCCTGCAAGCGCGAGGAAGGGGCATTGGAGGAGGACGGACGGGCCGAGGCTCCGCGGCCTGCTGGATCCCTCTGAATCCACACGGAGCACCCCCAGCGAGTGTCAGTGCCTGCGACGTGTTGCCTGTGTCGCCAGGACCTGCCAGGCTGCGGCCACATCACCCTGAACACACACGGAGCCTTGCAGGCCCCAACCCTGCAAGCTAAGTTCCAGGCTCCCCGGCCCTCTCCGTTCCACAATACGTTACTGAGCTTCGGTTCTGAGCCAAAGTCCAGGCCAACAGACGTGCACAGTGGGTGGAGCCTGATAAAGGAGGCCAGGAGGTCACTTCCCAGGAGATGGAGAGGGAGCACAGGGGTCAAGGGCATGGTTTCTGGCAGCCAGAGCTTGCGCTCACCTCCCGGCTCCACTTACCAGCTGGGTGACCTAGGGCAGGTTACTTAACCTCTCTGTGCCTCGGCGTCCCGTTTGTGTGACGGGAGCAGCAACGTGCACAGAGCAGAGTGACTGTGAAGGTCAAGCGGATCAAGGCCTCTAACCCCTCGGGACATACCGACTGGAAGGCCAGTCGGGGCAGCGTGATGCCACGGTGACCGGGGGAGGCGCAGGCAGGGGGCGGGGGCCGTGGGGAGGGCTCCTGGGGAGGGCACTGAAGCTGGAGCCCGGAGGAGGGTCCTCGCTGGGGGGACGGCCTCGCCAGGGCCTGATCGGCAGGTAACACCGGGCACGGGAGGGTTGAATGTTAAGACGCTTGGCGAGAGAAAGGGTGTGCGACATTTAACTCGCCCCTTTGCTGCGAGAAGTCCTGGAAATTTCCCTTAACCTTTCCCACCCCATCACTGCTGCTGAAAACTAACCAAATCCAGCCCCCCATTCCTCTGAGGATCCCCTGCTCCCCCTTCTCCAGATTACCGACCCCTCGAGAACGCAGTGCGAGGCAGAGGGTGCGTTCTCGGCGTCTGAGGCCGACCGCTTCCGCCCTGGGCCTGCGTCTGCTCCTGAAAGGCACAGGATGCGGAGGGCAGGAGGGGGTGGCACGGCCCCCACCCCACTGCCCGCAGCGAGCCCCGCAACCCCCGGCCGGCCGGGCGCTCTTCATGACCTCAGCTGTTGATGTGGATGCGACCGGGACAGGGAGGCGCTGACGGGCCTCGCGGGTGGCTTCCCTCACGCGTGCCCGGGGCCGGGGCTGTGCGCCGCCCGAGGTTTGGGCTAGAGCTAGGGGCGGGCCCCTGCTCCACGGGCTGTTCACAGGGGCCGGCCGGTGCCCGCTTGCCCACACCCCCACCGCGCCCCAGGGCCTTGGCTGTCCAGCTCCCACCCAGCCCTGCCTGGCTCAGCTTCCTCCCTAGCGGCCTGGGCTGCGGGCTGAGAGACGGGCTTGAGCCCCTGGCCCATGCGAGACTCCGGGGGAGAGGAAACACAGACTCCATCTATGTAAGAAACTCTGCCCCTTCACCGGGCTGGTTGAGAAACGCCCCCAAGCTGGGCGCAAGGCCAGTGCTGTGACCCCCTCAAGGCCGTCATCTCTGCGCAGAAGACAGCCCCGTGGGGTGCACATGCAGATTTTAAGGGGATGCACAGCCGGGGGGGGGGAGGGGTGGCTGAGAAAGCCACTTAGGGAAACAATGACGATTGCCAACAGTTTATGAAGTAACAAAAGGGGTTTTGCCCTAAAAGGAAAATGTACAAGATGCAAAGCCTGCGTTGCAGGAGCTAAGCCAGGAGGGCGTCTGGCAGTCGGGGGGGGCGCAGAGCTGGCGGGGAGGTGATTGGCACCAGCTGCCGAGTGGCCCGGAGGCCCAGAGCAGACCACGGTCACAGCAGAATCAGCAGGCATTTCCCGGCGACGGACAGCGCAGGCAGCTCCACAGGCTTCTGGCGGCTGCCGGGCCTGTCTAGATACCGGAGGCCGCGCCGGGCCCAGCCCCGAGGGGAGTGACGCAGAGCCCTTGCAGTCTGTCACGAAAACCCAAACCAGTAAAAAAACAGAAAGAGTGGATGATCTGACTAATTAAAATGAAAAGCCTCTGTTGGATGACAGGACATGGACTTAAAAACCATTTATCTAAGCCCTACCCAAGTGTACGTGTTGTAAGGGTGAGTTTAAAATACGAAAATTATATCTAAAAAAAAAAAAAAGAACAAGTCAAAAAAAGGGAAAGACAAGAAAGAAGAAAAAGAAATTCGTAATTACAAAGGGTGAGTGTCCATGGGCTGTAAAGTAAGTCGCACCGGCAAGTAACGGAAACGTGGCAGCGAGCACGTGTCCCTGGAGAGGAAGCCCTGCGGCGGACACGGGCGCCCCTCACTCTCAGGGGCCAGCGGGAGCGCCATTTCCACCTCCCGCGGGGCTGGGGCAGCCGGCGAACCCGCTGCTGACAGGCGTGTGCGGGACACCGGAACTCTCAGCTCCAGCTGCGGAGGCCGCGCTGAGAAGTCATTTGGGGGTTCCTGCTTCAGGCCGAAAAGCCTGGCAATCCGGGGCTCCCCTCGGTCATGTCCCCAGAGCCCCCGGGCAGCATGAGGAAGCTGGGCCCCTGCACGGGTGGTCCCGGGCAGCCACGGCGGGGCCCTCGCAGGGCGGAGCTCCAACAGCCGTCCCACACGGCCAGCTGCGACCTGACCCCAGCTGACCGGCCGCGGCGGCACAGGCCGCCACCCCCAGATGCACTGCCCCAGCACTGTCCACACCTGCCTGCCACGCAGATGAGGCCTCTGCTACAGGAGGCCGCACTGCCCAGGGGCGCGGGCAGGGCCTGGAGCTGGCCGGCCGGGCCCGCACTGCCCACTGCAGAGGCCTGCGGAGGGCCGCCCTCAGCCAGAGGCGCCCTCCTGCTGGCCAGCGGGCGTGCGCACGCTGTGTGGCCAGGAGAGGCGGCCCGCAGAGGGAGGCTGGTGCGCCCAGCTGAGACCCGGCCACAGCCCGCCCTCGGGCGCTGGCCCGAGCCCACCCTGCGGGCGGGCTCTGGGTCCCTCCCCAGCGCTGGCGTTTGGACAGTGACGGCTCAAAGTGCCCCCAGGACGCTTCAGATCTAGGAAAAGAGGAAGCAGGGGAGCGTAGAGGTTACAGTCAGGAACCACCGGGCAGGCCGGTCCCGTCCCTGACCGTCGGAGGACTGGGCGCTAGGCCTGGCGTCTGGTGACCCCGAATTCCGGAGGCCCTCGGGTGGAAACGACGTGGGACCAGGCAGCGTCCCCTCCACGGGAGCACCCGGCCCTCCTCGCCTTCCGCTCGCTATTTTTGGAGGTGCTAAGAATAGTCTGCTTTAAATACCCGCTCCCCTCAGACGTGCTCACAGGGCTGCCCCGCAGCAGCGTCCAGAGCAGAGGCGGGCAGCAGCCAGGGATAAGCCAGTGGCGCCTCTGACGGCGGGGTGGGGGTGGGGGGTGGGGGGTCCCGGGACACGGAGCCCCGATGCCTGCCCGCAGGACCTTCCTGCCCCATCGCCCCAGGGGAAAACCCTCCCCACGGCCGCGCGGGCCCTCATGGGCTGCCTTCCTCAGCATCCACTCACGCCCCCAGTGTCCTAGGCGCTGCCAGGACCCCAGCCGGGGACCGGACACCCCCTCACGGAGCGCTGCCACAGAGAAGTCCCCCGCTCTGCCCCTGCTCAGCCGAGTGTCCGCTCCTGGGACCCAGGGCCCGGGCGGGGGCCGCCCGCCGGCTCTGCTCCGGCCCCCCGCAGGGCGCCGGCACTCACTTGTTGAAGAGGTTGAGGCCGATGCGGTAGTGCCGCTTGCGGATGACGTCGTTGCTGAAGGCGGGCGAGTCCCAGCTGTTGCGGGTCTCCTTGTGGTAGGTCTGCTTGCTGAGCGCCTGCTCCCGCAGGCTGTCGCGCGAGGACGACTCGGAGCTGCAGTTGATGGTGTCGTTGGAGTTGGAGGTGCTGTTGATGCTGTCGTTGTCCCCGTCCGAGTAGTCGGACTCGGACTTGCTCTGCCTGTTGGCGGAGCCGTTGATGGCCAGGTGGCTGTCCAGGGGCCTGGGGGGCCGGGGCCGCAAATCCGGCTCCTCGCGGGGCAGGCCCTTGGGGGGGCCGCCGTGGGGGCCGTGCTTGGGGCTGCCCTGCTGCCCGCTGAGTTTAAAATACGAAAATTATATCTAAAAAAAAAAAAAGAACAAGTCAAAAAAAGGGAA